AAGCTTGAGGAGATGAAGATATTCTTATCCCAAGCTTGGACAAGAGATATCGATGTTGAAGTATGGTGAGAGGATGTCAGCCTGCTGAACTGAGGAAGGTAGATACTGAATGTGAACTAGTCCTTGAAGCACCTTCTCTCCAATGAAGTGACAATTGATGTCAATGTATTTAGTACACTCATGAAACACGAGATTAGTAGCTATATGAATAGCTCACTTACTATCACAATGTAGAGATATAGGAAGTGCATATCCACAGCCAACTCCTTGAACAAACCAGTGAGCTAAACAAACTCAACAACTGTTGAAGCAAGGCTCCGATACTCTGCCCCAGCAGAGCTTCTCGAAATGGTGGTCTACTTCTTGGACTTCCAAGAAATTAGGGACGCACCAAATTTAATTAGATATCCTGTGATAGATCGCCTAGTGATAGGACACGAAGCCCAATCAGCATCACAAAATATTGTAAGGCTATTATCAGCAACAACAAACATGAGAATACTCATTCCAGGAGAAGATATGATATATCGAACCAAACGAACAACAACCTCTATATGAGAAACCTTTGGGGAATGCATGAATTGACTAAGGTTTTGCACTGCATAAGCAATGCCATGCATGGTAATGGAGAGGTATAAAAGCCTACCCAACAACCTCTGGTAAAACACTTGGATTACTCAACAATTCATCAAAAGTCTCACCAATGTGCTTGTCAAATTCATAAGATGTGAGCTTGTGATAAGCTCTAAAGGAGCACCCACACACGTTGCCCCAGCTAGTCCCATATCGGAGATAAGCTCCAAAGCATATTTCCTTTGGTGCATAAGGATACCTCTTTACTCCGAGCAAATTCAATGCCAAGAAAATACTTGAGTTCCCCCAAGTCTATAATTTTGAAACTCTACTGCAAATTGCCTTTAGTTTCTTCAATCATGCTCAAATCATCACTAGTGATTAAGAGATCATTGACATACACTAAGACAATCACAGTTTTCTCACAATATCTTCTAGTGAAAAGTGAATAGTCTAGATGACTCTGAATGAACCCAAAAGATAACAAGGCAGTGGTAAGCTTCAAGTTCCACTGTCTTGAATCCTATTTAAGGCCATATAGAGATTTAAAAAGTCGACATGCAGTCTGCTTCCCTGCTTTAGAACTGAATCCTTGTGGTAAACTCATGTAGACCTCTTCTTGGAGATCCCCTTACAGGAAAGTATTATAGACATCCATTTGGCTGATGGTCCAATGCTTGACAACAGCAATGGAAATGACAGCTCGCACAGTAACCATTTCAACCACGGGAGAGAATGTCTCTTGGTAATCAAGACCCTCTTGCTGGTTATAACCCTTAGCTACTAACCGAACCTTGAACCTTTCTAATTCCCCAGTTGCCTTGTATTTGATTTTATAGACCCATTTGCAACCAATGACCCTCTTTCCCTGTGGCAAAGGTACTATCTTCCAAGTGTCATTATCTTCTAGTACCTTGATTTCAAGTTGCATTGCTTCAACCCATCGTGGATCCTTGGCTGCCTGTGTATAAGTAGTGGGTTCAACCTCAACTGAGAATCTGGTAAGAAAACTCTAATAAGTAGAAGAAAGTGAATCATAAGAGATCATATCAGAAAGAGGATAAGAACACGTCTGAGCAGCTTGAGGCTCAGAAGAGGCAGATGGAGTTGAAGAGTCAATAAAGGACAGAAGAGAAACATTAAGAGTGTAATTATCGGTAGATTATCTGGATCAACAACCTCTGGAAAGAGCAGCTCAACATTGTCTTGTATAGTCTTGAAAGGGAAGATGAATTCATTGAAAACTACATCCCTACTGATGAAGACTACCTGTTTCTCAAGATCATAAATCTTGTAGCCCTTCTGAAAAATACCATAGCCAAGTAGAACAAACTTAATAGCTCTAGGACTGAACTTATCTTGCTTGGGTAAAGTAGAGGCATAATATAAACACCCTATGATTCTCAATTGTGTGTGAGAGAGAGGATGCGTTTATATAAGACCTCAAACGCAGACTTATTATCTAAGACAGATAAGGGAATCCTATTGATGATACACATTGTGGCTTCAATGCAACATCCCCAGAATCTTGAGGGCAAACAACTTTGGAACTTAATGGCTCTAGCAGTCTCAAGAATATGTCTATGCTTTCGTTCAACCACCCCACTTTGCTGGGGTATATATGGACATGACCTTTGATTTATGATCCTATATGTGTTAAACAAAGCTCCACAAGTAGAGTTAAAGAACTCTGTGCCATTATGTCATGACCCAAATCGGAGGGCCGCGACGGGCACCCGGTGCCTTACTCAACTGAGTACCAACGTAACATATCTTTCTTATCACACCATCATAGGTAAATGGGTCTGAAGGGCTATCATGAGATAACTGGAATAAAATATAAGGGAATACTAGACATAGGACAACTCAACATGATATAAAAACTTATACACGTGACATACGGGCCTATAAGGACGACATGATCATTTGTACACTCAAAACATAGGCCGATAAAGCCATACAAGTATCCATATACATGACATCTGTCTACAAGCCTCTAAGATTACATAAACGTTATAAAGGTCGGAACAGGGCCCCACCATACCAATCAATACATGTCCAAATCATACTGACCAAATAGGCAACTCCGGAGCAAGTGGAGTGCACCAATACCTTCCGCTGAGTAATAGCCTACTAGGAGGACTATCAACCTGTCTATCAGGCGGACATGAAACGCAGCGTCTCCAGGCAAAAGGGACGTCAGTACAAATAAAGTACCGAGTATGTAAGGCATGAAAACATGGTGTAAAGAACTCAACATGTAAGTCTAAATATCTCTATGAATCATGAAACATTTATAATGTCATGCATATGCGTGTAAATGTCATACCATGAATAGGTATATGAGTACATGACACCATCAAGCCTCTGAGGGCATCCCATCATATCATCTTGGCCTCTGCAGGCGAAATTATCAATGTATACCAGCTGATCAGGTGGTGGTGCGTATATAACGCCTTAACCTTAACCCATATCCCATATACATATAATATACGCGTATATAACGCCATCTGGTCATGGGTCAATGTACATGTATAAATGAATGCAATGTATAATGAAGTAAGTCAACAAGATCTCTCGGATAAACTTTATCAACTTCGTATTTTTCTTAGACCCGTGAACAGATGATATAATAATAAGACACATGGGGAATCAAGAACATAGTCACTCCTAGTACTTCTATGAATAGGGCCATTTATGAAAGTTGTGCGTTTGCTCATTTTGCTTGTATCATATGGATCATGCCAAAAGTAAAGAAGGGATAGCCTTAGCATACCTTTGTCGTTTACCTAACCACACGACATCGGTTCAACCCGTTAGTACTTCAATCTACAACAAATAATAAGGGACCATTGTTAAGCTTACAGAAGCTAGAACTCAACACAAAATGAGGGACTAGCTCATCAACGAAATTTTGGACAACACCTCCCCTTATTCTTTTTACTTTTCTCAAACCTACAAACAAGACCAACATGTCTAGAATGCCAACAAATATATTTATATCAATATCTAACCTCATATTCATTACAATGCATCACCTAAACAGTCCACACCATCTCACCCAACAACCAAGTTCTAACTTGCACTTTCCAAGCCTTCTCTTCTTC